TTCTTTAGATAGGTTTTTGTATTAAACTAACTGGTTTTGAAGTGAATTGCAGGAATGAGTGTGCATTGCGTGTACTGTATTCGAAAAGAATTGGCCAAGTGTTGAAAAAGGCGAACCGCACATTTATTGTGAGGGCCGCACAATTTTGTATGCCACAACAGAGAAGAATCTGCAGCCGCACAACTGGAGACCCAAAAAAAATCCAACTCTCTGAAGTTTTTGAAGTGCAGAGAAAAGGCCATTCTGCGGCCGCACACAAAATTGTGCGAACCACACAAATTTCTGCGGCCGTACTCACTTTTGTACGAACTGCAAAACTTTGGCAAGGTTCAGGTAAAGAGTGCGGACCGCACTCAAAATTGTGCGGCCACACTTAGCTTCAATTTTGACTGAGCTTGGTCAACCTATAAATAAGACCTCATTGCACTATTCACAACTTTACACACTTTGAACTTTTCAGACCTAAGCAAGCATAGTGCACAAAAGTACCTCACAATCCAATTTCATTTCATCAGTGTAGATTCTTACATGCATCCTTCATCACTGGTATGTTCAATTCATGTTTAGATTTTTTAATTTTTTTTTAGTTTTTGTTCTTAATTAGTATAATTATTTTTAGGCCTAAAACGTCAAATGTTCTTCATGTGTGCTTGAAATTGTGTGGGTAAATTCATGTGTGCTCATTGGGGACTCGGTAGATCATTCATCATGTTTAATTTGCAAATACCATGTTTAAATTGTGCAAAAAAATTGCAAAACCTAAGTTAGTGCCGTTTTATTTTTGATTGTGCGCCCGCACACAAAATTGTGCGGTCCGCAGATCTTGAGTTAGGACAAAATGTGATACATGAAAAGTGTAGTCCGCACTCAAAATTGTGCGGTCCGCAGAAAATTTGTGCGATCCGCGAAAAAATGTGTGCGACCTCACTTTGGATCTTCAGAGAACTAGTAGTCTGAACCTGGTTTTGTGCGACCGTACTCAAAATTGTGCGGTCCGCATAAAAATTGTGCGGTCTTCAAAAAAATGTGTTCGACCGCACTTAGGAACTTCAGAGAACCAGTAGTCTGAACCTGGCTTTGTGCGGCCGCACTCAAAATTTTTCGGTCCGCACTTCAGCATGTGCGATCACACTTTGAAATTGTGCGGTCTGCACAAGGCAGTTTGTGACCGCACTCAATATTCTGCGGTCTGCACTGTCTCTTTTGTACAGTATTTTCCTGCAACTGTTAACATGCTTCTGAACTTAAACTGACTTATATGCTTCGTATTGCAGACAATGGTTCGATCACGAGGCAGAGGTGATACATCTAAAGGGAGGGGTGAACACTCCCAAGGCCGAGGAAAGGGCACTCAACCTCTGGGAGTGCAATCAAAAGCAATAGCCAAAAAGCCGACCACTAGGAGAGGTAGGTCCACAGAGCCCTCAGAATCAAGATTGTATGTTCCATCTAGGGAAGCCTCTGAGGGTCACTCGGTAGAGGTACAACCTGAGGCCCAGTCCCAACCACCACAATTCACTGGGAGATACCAACTGCACAACGAACCCTCTACCACAACAAGTTCTTCTGAGGGTTCCGATGTTAGTAGCCAGGGTTTAGAGCCATCCTCTACACACACTCCCTCTACACCAGTTGCAGTAGATGATGATGATGTTCCTGATGATGGTAGGGGAGGTGACACTAGAGTGGGCGGCCTAGAGAGGTCGAAGAAGAAGGAAACATGGGAAGATAGGTTCATGAGTTTGACTGCCTACATAATGTTTAGAGAGTGGTGGCCTCAGAGATCGCTCACACTCGAGCGATAATTCTTGCTGAAGGATTTGGATAAATACAACCCAAATGCCCTTAAGCAGTTCATGGAGCGCAAGGGTGGATGCGTTTCACCAAGAGTGTTATGGATGCCAAAGAGCACTTGGTACGAGAGTTTTATGCCAATGTGGAACACATCGACAAGGGTACCAAAGTGACAAAAGTGAGAAATTTGAAACTCAGATTCGACCCAAGCACTTTGAACACTTACCTGGGATTCGAGGAGGTAGAGGCAATCCAGTACTTGGAGAAGCTTGCTATGGGTGATGCAACTCGCCCTTGGTTAGCAAAGATTTTGGCTCCTCCAGAACCACCACCATCGTGGATCACAGCAGGGGTTCCCATTGCACGGGCCACCCTAAACCTTTAAGCAAAGGGGTGGCAAATATTTGTGTGCAGTCGTATTGACCCAAACCAGAATGAGAACAATCTTACGATTCCCCGAGCAATTTTGGTGGCATCTATCATGGCCGGGTACCCAATCAATGTGGGTACCATCATGTCGGCCAACATATTAGTGGTTTTCCGGAAAGGTCAAAGCTCCTACCCATATCCTAACACCCTCACAGAATATCTCACGGATGCAAAGACAGGGGAGGATCTATGTACACGGTTCGGGGTGGTACGCCACCCGCAAGCTTCGGCAAAAACCTTATGTATATATGTAAATATGTATAAGACATAGGATATATATTTAAAGTGCCACCCGTAGAACAAAAGTGGCAAAAGTGCCAGTGGCAAAGGTCTGCCTTTTCGTTCAGCAGGGCAAGAGTTCGAATCCAGGGGAGCAAATAAATTTTTGGCTTACATTCAGTTGCAATTTAAGGAAATTAAGTACACTACACAGCAAACTCTTCTATATTTTATAGTAAATGTTTTACTTTTCTGTTTGTTTGTTTAAGAAAATTTAGTACACTACACAACACACTCTTCTATATTTTATAGTAAATGTTTTACTTTTCTGTTTGTTTGTTTAAGAAAATTTAGTACACTACACAACACACTCTTCTATATTTTATAGTAAATGTTTTACTTTTCTGTTTGTTTGTTTGTTATTTTAAGTATAAACAAATAAGATAAAATAATAATAAAAGTGCTCTTTATAGAATATTCTCTTATAATTAAAGGTAAAACCATGCCCCAATTCCCCAAGTCCACTTTCCCCTTTCCCTTTCTCCAATTCTCGCTGCTTCAACCTTCATTCACGCCACTGCTTCTGCTTCTTGCTTCTCTGTTAGACTGTTACTGTAAGCATTTATTTTTCTTTACCTTTGCGGATGCTTGATGCTTCATACATTCATTGCTCACTAGTCACTAGTCATTGCACTACGCCCACCATTGTAATGTTTCCTCAATCCTCACCTCCTCATGTTTATTTCTTAACCCTATGTGGCTATTTTTTCCCCATCAAATATATGTTCTTGCTATGTTTTTGTTTTGTATTTAGTTGGATATTAGTGTTCTTGCTAAAATTTATTGTTACTATTTTGATTTTTTTGTTATGTATTTCTTTGGTTGTGTTTGAAAATCAAATGCCTCTTAAATGGTTTCACTGTAGAATTTAAAATTTCTAAACTTATTGATGGTATGACTTGGTAGAAATCGTTCTATATTTCTCACTGGAATGAACTTCTATTTTATAGGAATTGATTGAGATTGATAAATTTGTCACGAGGTTGGACCATTCTCAACCAAGTCCTAGTTGTCAATCCTTGATCCAAGCGAATGCCAATCATTCCTATCTTATAAATGAACTCGATTTGGGGTCACTTAAAGACGATCTAGGAGAAAGAATACCTATTGCTGACTATAACCCTAGAATACGAGATAAAGTAAGAAAATATTACATTCAACATGGTCCCTGTCAACCTTCCAAGCATCAATTTCCCAAAACTCAAATAGGAGGAAGAATGTGTCAATTTGTTCCAAGTTGGTTCAATGGTCAATTTTACATTTTGCTTATGTTGTTATTTGTTCAAAAATGAATTTATTCATGGAAGTGCGGGTGAATTTTATACAAAAAATGATTTTAGGGTTTAGAATAAGGGTCTTGAAAGATTGCGTTTACATGTTGGTGATGTTAATAGTGCCCATGATAAATGTTTCAAGAAGATGCTAGATTTATCAAATCACCATCAATCAATTCAAGTTGTTTTTGATAAGCACTCCGAGAAGTTGAAAAATGAGTATCGAATGCGTTTAGAAGCATAAATTGATGTGGCAAGACTCCTATTGTTGTATGGATTGCCTTTTAAGGGCCATGATGAAATTGAATCTTCGATAAATCAAGGCCTCTTTCTAGGATTCTTACGATGGCATGGGGACAAGCATCCGGATGTGGGAAAAGTAATATTAGAAAATGCTCCACAAAATGATACTTTGACTTGCCCTATGATCCAAAAGGATATTATCAATGCTTGTGTAAAAGAAACATTAAAGGCTATAATTGGAGACTTGAATGGAGATTATTTTGGTATATCAGTTGATGAGTCCAAAGAAATCTCCCACAAAGAACAATGGCTCTTGTTTTGCGTTATGTTGATAAAAATGGTGAAGTGGTAGAGCGATTTGTTGGTCTTGTCCATGTTAGTGATGCATCGACATGCTCATTGAAAGAAGCAATCTACTCTTTGCTTTCGGACCACTTACTAAGTCCGTCTCAAATACGTGGACAAGGTTATGATGGAGCTAGTAACATGAGGGGAGAGATAAGTGGTCTTAAGACTTTGATTATGAAAGACAGCTCATCGACATATTACATTCATTGCTTTGCTCATCAATTGCAATTAACACTTGTAGCTATGTCTAAAAAGCATTTGGATGTCGAATACTTCTTTTGTCATATTACTAATGTGTTGAATGTCATTGGATTATATTTTAAGCGCGGAGATTTGCTTCGCCATCTTCAAGCTAAAAAACTGGAGCAATTACTTGAGTCCGGTGAAATTCATACCGGGCGAGGACTAAATCAAGAACGCAGGCTTCAATGACCAGGTGATACTCGTTGGGGATTACATTTCAAAACATTAGATAACTTTATTATTATTTTCTCATCTATTATTCGTGTGCTTGAAGTGATTGAACATGAAGGTTCTACCTCAAATGAGAGAAATCAAGCAAAATATCTTTTGAGTGAGATAATAACATTCAAATTTATTTTTATACTTCACTTGATGTTGAAAGTTTTGGCAATGTCAAACGAGTTGAACAAGATCCTACAAAAGAGAGATCAAGATATTGTTTATGCCGTGGAGTTTCTTAATATTACAAAGAAAAGATTGCAAGATATGAGGGAAACTGGATGGGAATCTTTGCTAGATGATATTTTCTCATTTTGTCATATGCATGATATTATGATTCCCAAGATGGATGAATCCTATTTTCCTGGAAAGTCGAAGCGTAAGTCTTCTGGTATTTGTTATTCACACCACTTGCGTGTTGATATCTTTTATGTTGTAATTGATGTGCAACTTCAAGAACTTAATGACCGTTTTGATGTAGTGAGTAGCGATTTGCTTCTTGGGATGGCTAGTTTGAATCAAGCCAATTCTTTTGCTAATTTTGATAAAGGTAGAATAATGACTTTAGCAAAATGTTACCCAAATGAGTTTGATGAAATACACATTCGAGACTTGAGTTATCAACTAGATACTTTCATAATTCATATGCGAGTTGGCAATCCCAAGTTCTCCAACTTGCAAGGAATTAGTGATTTGGCAAAAGCATTGGTTGAGACAAATCTTGTGGAGACTTATTCATATGTTTATTTACTTGTGAAGTTAACTCTGATTTTACCTGTTGCTACCGCAACTGTGGAGAGAGCATTCTCATCCATGAAGCAAATAAAGAATGAAGAGAGGAACAACATGGGTGATCAATATTTAAATGATTGTTTAATTTGTTACATAGAGCGTGATGTATTTACAAATGTAAGTAATGATGTCATTATTGATCGTTTTCAAAATCTGAAAGCTCGTCGAGGACAATTTTAAATAGATTGTATATGATACTAAAAATATTGTTAGAAGTTTTATGCTTTGCGTCAATTAGTTATAGTTATTATATTTTCTTTCGTTTGATCTATTTGTCTATATACCCCGAAGTCCCGAATCGATGCTCGAGTTGATCACATCGATTAGGTCGGCACCCGTAATCCCTAAATCCTGGATCCGCCTCTTTGCAAAGGTGGAGCCGAGGAGTTTTGATACAAAAGTGCGGGCCAAGAAGCCTTTTTCATGGTACTTCTTGCAAGGTCCGGGAAACCCAAAGTTCAAGGGTAAAGCAACTGCCACCGTTGGCCAGTCTGATGAGCCATCATTGGTGGTTACAGATTCTACTGCTGAGCCATCTGCAGCTCCCATGCTTTCCACAGCGGCCGGTCCTTCCACCGAGACAGCTTCCATGCCACCACCCTCATCTTCTAGACCATCATCATCAGTACCAGTGCCTGCCTCATCCACATATCCACTCGCTGCTCTGTGAGTCTCCCAGACATTGGCAAGTCTCAAAAACTGGATGCAGACCACTACTTCAAAGCTACCTGACATATCCAGTGTTGTTGCAGCACAGTCTTCTACAGTAACAGCACCACAGGTTCCTCTCAGTGGAGGAAATATTAAAGAAGATCCTGGACAACCAGACACTAAGAGTCCATCAAACTATATAGAGAACCACGTTCTCTACCAGTTTCCACAGAACACACGCACACACCAGTATGTAAATAACACAATAGAGTTTTACGTGGAAAACTCCCAGCTCACGGGATTAAAAACCACGACCTATCCTTATAGGATTTCAACTTCACTACTAAGCAAACTTCAGATTACAAACTGTTGTAACCTAGGAATTAACTTCTTAATCCCTCACTAACTTGTACAACTCTATTACAAGTCCCTTTGTAATAACTTTATTACAAAGCTTACAACTTGACTAACTCTAGCCAAGACACAAACGTATGGTTTATGATTTTACAAGGGTTTCCTACACAATGCTTCTAACTAAGTTAAGTAGAAATTATAAGTAAATTGTTGGCGAATTCCTGCCATGGCGAGAATATCAGGGGCAAATGTTCTGCCCCACAACACTTTCTGATTTCTCAGGTTTTCCCTTCCTTCATTCTTAGCCACCCTCACCTTGGTCCTTTTTTAAGGAACCAGGTCCCTCATTGGCACTACCCTTCCGTTTTACTGATTTTNACATATATCAACCAGCTGGCGAATTCCTGCCATGGCGAGAATATCAGGGGCAAATGTTCTGCCCCACAACACTTTCTGATTTCTCAGGTTTTCCCTTCCTTCATTCTTAGCCACCCTCACCTTGGTCCTTTTTTAAGGAACCAGGTCCCTCATTGGCACTACCCTTCCGTTTTACTGATTTTCTCACACTTTTAGCTTACTCTGTAGGCTTCTCAGACATAGATTTCTCAGACACGTTCTTACCAGACCCCTCATCCACTTTTTCTCCAAACTCGCCCATTTCAACATTACTAACTTCCATCACTTTCACAGATGACTCTTTTCCAGAATTTTGAACCGCAGGTTTCTTGGAGGATTTGGATTAAGGGACTGGGTTCCTCATCCACTTCATCATCAATGTCCACAATAAGAGCTGTAGGCACCACCCTCTTCATGTACTAACTTTCCACCCTTCACCAACCTTCTACTATTCTTTTATTTCTTATTTTTCTTCAGAGCTGACTCAAGAGCCTCCTTCTGTTACAGCCTAGTAGTAAGACTTTTAGGAGTGGGTGTTTTGGGAGTTGCACTGCTACTCCTAGCACTAATAAAGCTTGAAAGAGCAACATTATCATAGTCTTCTTCACTACCCTCATTCTCCTCCTCAGACAGAGGTCTCATCTCGGAGTAACAATGGCCAATGGTTCAGCATAGAAATGAGGAGAGGGAGCGAGATCAGTACTGACCTGGGTTTGTTTTTTTGATGAACATGAGGGTTTCATCCCAAGTAGGAGGAGAGGGCTCCTCATGGGCGGAAGGATCAGATCCCTCGAGTGGTTCCCAAATAGTACTTTCAGGTGCCAAATTTTTGATAGGCATCAATTCCCTACCCTTTTCTTGTAGACTCTAACCTTCCCCCTGAGACCTATTGGTTTCAGACACACCTTCATAGAAACTATCCATACACCTCTCAGCAGTTATTGACAACATACTTTCTATGGCCTCTTATTCTTCTAACACCAAAGGAAACTCGGAAGGCACAAAAAAATTATTACATGTCAGATATGCAACATTCAAATTGAGACTTGGGGTAGTCATTGTGATAACCACACTTTGTTGTGCCTCAGAACACTCTTCTAAACGCAAACTGGAAACTTCATGATATTCTTCTCCCTCTACGTTTTCCCCCTCAACCATTTTTTCTGGTGAGGCAGATGGAGAGATCATAGCCACAAACCTCTTGGGATTTGAAGTTTTTCAACTTCGATGAGAATCAGAACTTGATTGGGGTGGAGAAGAGGCAGTGGGTGGTTGGGAATCTTGCTTAGGGTTTGGATTGGGTGGCGTAAAGTGCGTAGACTCTGTCACTGGTACTTCAAGAGATGAAGATACAGTGGGGAGGATACTGGGGACATTTGAGGCTTCGATATTCTCAGACATTATAGGGTGTAATAAGAGTTTATGAAAGAAGAGAGTGTTTGGTTGTTGGGAGAAAAAGGGAAATTTTAGCTTTTGATGTGAACAATTGTGAGAGTGACCGAGTTTGATTTATTAAAAGAGGGTGAGGGGTCGGTTGGGAATGAGTATTGATTTTTTGGGTAGACAGGTCGTTTTGTAATGGGTAGGATGCTTGGGTTACCCAAAAAAGAAGCTAACAATTTAATGACACGGCACCATTTTTAGTCGTTTAAAAAGTTGTGCGTGAGAGTACAAAAGGAACTACTAACTTGTGTCACAGGAACTAGATTCCTTGATAGATTTTGTAAATATGATCCTCATCCTTTTGCAAAGATGAAATACATTAGCTCCTTAATTGCTCTGTAATCGTCATGCATGTCTACCTGTAACAGTATAGAAATGAGTTAGACCTTGTCAGAAAACACTTTTTAGAAATTTCACCTGTATATTTCTTTCATAGCCAATCATCGAGGGACCAGGTACTCAGCTTGATTTTATCAACCCTAGTGCAAAATGATTCTTTTCAAAGTGCTCTCTGCTTAGTGCTTTTGTGTAGATGTGTGCGGTTTGATCTTTTGTGTTACAGAACTTCTTGCAGATAAGCCCTTTTTCATTATTGTCTCTAAGAAAATGATGTCACACATCAATGTGATTTCTTATCTTATGTTGAACTAGGTTCTTTTCCATATTGATAGCACTGGTGTTGTCACATGGTAACGGCACACAATCAGAAACACACCAAAATCTTCTAGTTGTTGCTTGATCCACAGCAGTTGAGCACAGCAAGAGGCAACCGCCACATATTCAGCTTATACACTTGAAAGAGCCATTGAATTTTATTTTCTTGTACCCCATGAAATTAGACACAAACCCAGAAAGTGTGCCATGCCGGAAGTGCTTTTCCTGTCCACTAGATAACCAGTATAATCAGTATCAGCATACCCGATCAAGTCGAAGTTGTCTCCTGAGGGGTAGTAGAGAACTAGGTCTTGCGTTCCCTTTAGATACCTCACGATTCTCTTGGCAGCCTTCAGATGAGATTCCTTTGGATTTGATTAAAACCTGGCACATAGTCCCACACTAAAAACAATATCTGGTCTGCTTGCTGTGAGATACAAGAGTGACCCAATGATACCTCTGTATATGGTCTTGTTCACAGGGGAACCATGTTCATCCATATCCAGTCGAGTGGCAGTGGCAATAGGAGTGTCAATGAGTTTTGAGCTTTCCATTTCAAATCTCTTCAGAAGCTCTTTGATGTACTTCTGCTGACTTATCATTATTCCCTTAGGAGTTTGCTTGACTTGCAGGCCTAAGAAGAAATTCAATTCCCCATCATGCTCATTTCAAACTCACTTCCCATGAGCTTTGTAAACTCCTCGCACAGAGAATCATTTGTTGCACCAATGATGATGTCGTCAACATAAACTTACACAATGAGCAGGTTCCTCCCTCGTTTCTTCAAAAATAAGGTATTGTCTATTTCTTCTCTTGTAAAGCCATTTTCTAGGAGGAATTTGGACAACTTTTCATACCATGTGTGAGGAGCCTGCTTCAACCCATATAAGGCCCTGTCAAGTTTGAAACACATGCTCAGGATGCTCATGACATTCGAAGTCAAGAGGTTTCTTGACGAAGACTTCTTCTTTTAGAAAGCCATTCAGTAACGCACTTTTGACATCCATTTAGAACAATTTAAATTCCATATGAGAAGCAAATGCAATAAGGGTTCTGATGGCCTCCATTCGAGCAACTGGGCAAAAGTTTCATCATAGTCAATCACTTCTTCTTGATTGTACCCTTGAACTACCAGCCTTGCCTTGTTCCTTGTTGTGTTCCTAACCTCATCAAGCTTGTTTTTGAATACCCATTTGGTTCCTATAACAGTTCTATCACTAGGTCGAGGATCCAGGTGCCATGTATTGTTCCTCTCAAATTGATGGAGGTCTTTTTGCATCGCCGTAATCCAGTCATCATCTTTCAATGCTTCCTTGATATTTTTGGGCTCAATTTGAGAAAGAAAGGATGAGAAGGCAAGCGCATTTCTTGACTTTGACCTCGTTTGAATCCCTGAGTTAAGAGGATAGATCACATTTTCAAGAGGGTGTGAACTTTTGTGCTTCCAGTTAGACACCTAAATCTCATTTTGAGTGGGTCTAGGTATTTCTGAACGTGATCCTTGGTTCCGCTTCTCAGCTCAGTATGTGGGGTTCTTTGGACAACATCAACAACTCTGTTCTCAAGTTCAGTTGTTGTGATTGCGGAACCAACTTCTTACGCATCAGTTGGATATACATATACACCATCATCATTTGATTCCTTGACTTGACTCATCAGGTCAGGCTTACCATTTGCCATGT